AAAAAAAAAAAAAAAAAAAAAAAAAAAAAAAAACACATTTAGAGCCAGGCGTTGGTGGAGCACGCCTTTAGTCCCAGAACTTAGTAGGCAAAGGCAGGTGGATCTCTTGAGTTTGAGGCCAGCCAGGTCTACATAATAAGCTCCAGGACAGTCAGGGCTACGTAATAGTGAGACTCTGTTCCCAAAACAAGGACATCCAGGAGCTGAGAGCACTTGCTGTTCTTCCAGAGTTTGCTTTGCAGACCCACATGGCAGCTCGCCATCATCTTCAACTCTAGCACCAGGGGAGAGGACGCTCTATTCTGGCATCCACAGGTGCACTCGCACCCACACACATACAGGTAAGTACAATTAAAGGGATTTTTAAAAGAACATTAAAGATTCTTCTGGGGTGCCAGAGATTAAAACCAGACCCAGGCAGCTGAAACTGCCTTATTCAGGGCTGCTGTGTGCAGTTTGGTTTGTATGTTTTCTATTTTCAGTGTTCTGGTTTGTCCGATTGCTTTGAGATGGGAGCCTCACTACCACAGCCCAGACAACACTGGCTTCGAACTCATGACCCTCCCCCTCCACCCACAGATCTCAGCGCTACGGTGACAGGTGTGCCCCACTGTGCTCAGTCTGCTCTACCACGTGTACAATGCCAAGAAGTGCCAAGCAGCACACAAAATACAGACGAGGGCTGATTGCCAAGCCTGGGATCTGGATCGGCTGCCGGAACTGGAGGTACAGTGGGAAGCTGGTAGACACAAGGTCCTCTTCCAGAGCAGTACACACTCCCAACTGGTGCGCCGTCGCTGCAGCCCCGGGGACGCACAATCCCCATGCTCCCAGTGTCTCTGGCACACTCAGAGGGGGTGTGCAGCTGCTCTGGAGACGTCCGCGACCACAAGAGCCACAAGTGCTCTGCGGCCTTACCTTGAAGATGAGGGCAGCTGCCTGGCCAATCCACTGAGACTTCACTGGGGAGAGCTGCATATGAGTCTTGATCACGTCTGCAGGTTGAGTCACCAGCGAAGCCAGAACGCCAGCCAATATCCCACAGCTGAAATTAACCAGGGGCATCAGAGCCACGTCCAACTGGTCTGAAACAGAGCAAGGGCAACAAAGGTTACACAGTCACAGTCCTCCCATGTGGTGCAGAGGCAGGGCTAACCAGTGTACTCAGACAGACCTGACCAGGGGCCTGTGGTGGGTCTGGATGATGGTGTCATGAGAAAAATTATTATTCAGTATAATGATTTTAAACAATTAATATGTTAATTATATCTGACAGTTAATTATGACTGTCTGACAGCTCTGCAGCAGCTGACTGGACAGTGCAGGTGTGGACGGCCTCTGACTGGATAGACAGTACAGGTGTAAACATCTGTAACTAGACAGACAGTGCAGGTGTGGACACCTGTGACTAGACTGTGCAGGTGTGGATACGCCCACCTTGTTGCTGACTCTAGGTCCTGAGTTCAGTTCCCAGCAACCACATGGTGGTTCACAACAATCTGTAATGAGGTCTTGTGCCCTCTTCTGGTGTGCAGGCAAACAACAAGCAGGTAGAACACTGTATACATAATAAATAATAAAATCTTTAAAAAAAAAAAAAGGACATTGTTGGCTTTAAAGATTCAATATTCTCCAGGTGTTGGTGGCGCACACCTTTAATGCCAGCACTCGGGAGGCAAAGGCAGGCAGATCTCTGGGAGTTTGAGGCCAGCGTGATCAACAAGAGCTAGTTCCAGGACAGCCTCCAAAGCCACAGAGAAACCCTGTCTTGAAAAACCAAAAAAAAAAAAAAAAAATTCAATATACATTTCTAATAATAAAAAAATGTCAATTCCAATTTTAAAGGATCAATAGATGTGAACTTTTATTTATTTTTTAAAGATTTTATTTATTTATTATGAATATAACATTCTGCTTCCATGTATATCTGCACACCAGAAGAGGGCACCAGATCTCATAACAGATGGTTGTGAGCCACCATGTGGTTGCTGGGAATTGAACTCAGGACATCTGGAAGAACAGTCAGTGCTCTTAACCTCTGAGCTACCTCTCCAGCTCTGAACTTTTATTTTTTAACTAATGTGTATTCATTGAACACGATAGGTCAAGCTTGATGATTCCTATCTTAATCCCAGTGCTCTAGAGGTGGAGGCAGGCTGATCCCTAGGGTCTGAGGCCAGTCTGGTTTACAATAGTGAGTTCTAGGCCAGCCAGGGCTACATAATAAGGCCTGGCTTCAAAATGAAAACAAAACACCACGTCTATGTTTCCTAACTGTCTTATATTTTTGTTGAAAAATGAGGCTGTGACCTGCAGGGTCACACCTGTTCCCTAGGGGGAAGGGGAAAGGGGGAAGGAGTCAGTCTCCCCAAACACTACAGACTCCCAGTCTCCCCAAACACTACAGACTCCCAGTCTCCCCAAACACTACAGACCCCCAGTCTCCCCAAACACTACAGACCCCCAGTCTCCCCAAACAGACTATCAGTCACCAGGACGCTATTCCCACCCCCACTTCCCCAACTATGCAGACAGCGAAATGAGTTCAGGTTCATTCTGCAGAACAGGTTCCAAGCAACCCTGCTCTGCTCAGTCAGCATTTACCACCCACAGACTTGGCTCTCAAGTTTATGGGGGCGGGGTCTGCCACAAACACCTCAAGTTTGCAGTTCTAGCCCCACCCATATATATATGTTGTCCTGAGGGCTCAGGACAACAGTAGCAGGGACACAGCAAGGGGAGTGAAAACTTTTCCTCAAGTTCCCAACCAGTCAGTGTTCCCCCACTGGTCTGACAGGATCACACAAGTGCTCACTGACAAACACACTTGCAGGCTGTACCCCAAAGCTCCTGCCCTAGGGTTCCCTGGATCAGGTCTGGGGCGTGCTATTACAGAACCTTGGCAAAACACACTTTGTTTCTCACCCAGCCCACCCTCTTTCCTTTAGAAGACACACACTCTATAGGGCATCCCAGTGCCCAGGCCCAAATTGGCTCCTGTGGTAGTCTGAATGTAATCGTCCCGTGAGCTCATAGAGAGGGGCACTATTAGGAGCTATGGCCTTGCTGGAGGAAGTGTGTCACTGAGGGAGTGGGCTTTGAGGTCTCACATATGCTCAAGCCACACCCAGTGTCTCAGACTACTTCCTGTTGTATACGGGTCAAGACTACTAACTCTCAGCTCCTCCAGCACCATGTCTGCCTGCATGCCACCATGTTGTACCGCGACAGTATGGACTGAACAACTGAATTGTAAGCCATCAATTAAATGTTCTCCTTCATAAGAGTTGCCATGGTCATGGTGTCTTCACAGCAATAGAAACCCTGACTAAGACAATGCCATTCCTAAAACTGCTATGACCATTCCAGAGAAAAGGCAAAAATGCAGCCCGCCTCTCCCCCGCTCACCCACCACTCCTACCCTTACCTGTGCCTCGGAGCACTGTGGTTTTGGTCTGGCTGTAAAACATCAGGTAGAGCCCTGAAAAGGGTGCATCACGAAGGAGAGTCGCTGTCAGGCCTCTGAAGAGGCCCCGGTGGCCCTCGCTGCAATAGATGCTCCTCAGAGCTGCATAGACGCTCTCATAGCTGTAAGTCCCACTCTACAAAGGGAGAGCAGATCCGGTGACTGGCACAGGCCAGCCTCTGAGCAGTGGCCCAAGCAGCCCTTAGATTCCATACCATCACCAGGGAGCCAGGCTTTAGTTCACATATGGCTAGCCCTGCCTAAAAACTGAGTTACCAGAGCACATCTGACCCTGAGGAGTCAGACTTCACACCTGGGCTGGCATAAGTGTGTGCCACCCAGAACCCCAAGGCTCTAAAGCTGTCAGACTTACCTCATAGCGAGTCTTGATCACTGTGATGGGTGACATGCAGACTCCTGCGACAGAGCGTGAGCCCATGCCCAGGATGACCGACTCCAGGGCGGTAGGAGGATGGCCTCGCAAGAAATACTGCTTCAAAGAATACAGAGTGCCAAAGTAGATTCCCACACCAGGGACACACCTCACAATGGACTGCAGGGAGAGAGGCAGAGCGAGAAGGTGAAACCAAAGACTGAAAGCTGCAAGGTGCCTGCTGGGGTGCCCCTCTGAGATCCCAGGGCGACCCCCACGCAAGGTGCCTGTTTAAGTTGTGAAGGGAGCACCCGTGGGAGGAGGGCAGACAGGATAGGCAACAGCCAATAAGGAGTGTGTGCAAGCAGCTACAGCTGGGGGAAGTTAGTCCCCTTGGCAAGCTCTAGCAATCAGTGAACACCCCACCCCTGTGATCTCTCTGCTGACAGGGCTAGGGCTGTAGTAGCTAAACCCCACTTCCCATCTTTCAGTGGCTGAAGGCTGCTGTGGGGGCGGGGGGAACCAATGCTCACTACTTCCACCAGCCAGGTGGGTCCTTGGGGCTAGAAAAAGTCTTTGGACAAAGAAATAAGGTGTAATTGTCGTAGCCCACTTTCACAGTGGTGGCAAAAGTGAGGCCACACTGACAGGCCATGGGATGTCAGCTTTGGAGCCAGTGCCATGCTAATCATACAGACATCAGTGACAGTACAGGGGACGGGAGGGAGAGAGCAGTCCCCTCAGATCTGTTGGGAGGGGGTGGCCAAAACAGTGGATAACACTGAGCCCTATGCAACCTGTCCTTTTGTCTTTACTGTGCAAATACAGGTGACAGAGCTTCATTTACAAACGAGGCTCTGACATCTTACTGGCCTGTTCTCCCTCTTGTGATATTTGTAGCCAATGAAACACCTGGGGGAGGGGATGAGGAGGTGACTGACACAGGTGCTGGGTGAGGTCAGGCTCCTACTGACCTGATGACCTGACATGGGGGACCAGCTGGACTGAGGAGCGGGGGTGCTGACAGCCAGGACATCCTGACAAGGAAAAGCTGATTTATTTCGGAAACTGTTCACAAGATCTGAAACTAGGTGTCCTCTCTTCAACTCAACAGAGCTGCTGCAGGAGTCACAGCCCTTCAGGGGCGCTCAAGGACAATGTGATCCCATGATTCTGTCTTTTAGCATGAAATCTGCAAATCTTGGTAATACCCACATCTCTTCTCCATCTGGTGACATTTGACCCCGTCTTCCCCTACCTTGCTTGTTTTCATTTTTACCCAGGGTCACGATAGCCATGACTGGCTGCTAGCTCACAACAGACATCCCCCTGCCACTGCTTCCCGAGCACTGGGATCATGCCAGCAGTTACTACCTAAAGGAAATGTCTTTTTAAAAAAAAAAAATTATTTATTTATTATGTATACAACATTCTGCTTCCATGTATATCTGCACACCAGAAGAGGGCACCAGATTTCATAACGGATGGTTGTGAGCCACCATGTGGTTGCTGGGAATTGAACTCAGGACCTCTGGAAGAGCAGTCAGTGCTCTTAACCTCTGAGCCATCTCTCCAGCTCCCATTAGCACTTCTTAACCTCTGAGCCATTTCTTCAGCTCAGAAATGTCTATTTTTTTTTATGTGTATAGATGTGTGTCTGTATGTTCATGTGTATAGACATATCTATATGTTTATGTGTACAGACATATCTATGTTTATGTGTACAGACGTGTGTCTGTATGTTTGTCTGTATGCTTATGTGTACAGACGTGTATCTGTATGTTCATGTGTACAGACGTGTATAGACGTCTGTGTAGATGGGTTTGTACAAATACATGTGAGAATGCAAAGTCCAGAAAAGGACGTAGGATCCCCTGGACCTCGAATTACAGATGGTTGTGAGCTGCCTGACATGGATGCTGGCATGGAACCCAGGTTTAAACACACGGTTTGTTTGCTCAAGGCATGTTCCTAACCACTGAGCCATCCTCTAGCCCATTAGCATTTCTTTTTTTTTTTTAGTCCTTTTGTTTTTTTTTAACATTTATTTATTTCTTTTATCTATGCCAGTGCTCTATCTGCATGTATGCCTTTATGCCAGAAGAGGGCACCAGATCTCATAACCGATGGTTGTGAACCACCATGTGGTTGCTGGGAGTTGAACTCAGGACTTCTGGAAGAGCAGTCAGTGCTCTTAACCTCTGAGCCATCTCTCCAGCTCCCATTAGCACTTCTTAACAACCTTCAATCTGGTCCCTCACTTCCTGTCAGGCCACCTCGGGCTCTGCTGTCCCTGCCCTGTTGTGGGCATGGGTCCCCCTGGACGCAGGTCCCCCTGGCTGGGCACCTCAGAGAAGAGCCTCACTGTTTCACATGTGACCCCTTGCTGGTTCCCTTTCTCCACAGGCATGTCAACAGCCCAGAAATGTGCAGCTGCTTCAGCCGCACATGCGGCTTGTTCCCACCCAAGGCTGCTTCCTGAAGCAGGTAACCGTATCCCTCAGTTGCGCTGAGCTGAGCGGCTTGTTTGTAGTCACTCATTTCAGGAGAGCTCCAGCTGGAGCCTTGGGTCTTGGAGCAGACTCAGTGCCCTCTGGTGTAACACGCCCCCATCAATTACCCATATTTCCTGCTCCTGTTTCCACTCACAGCTGCAGTGTGCGGCCACCTTAACCTAGCATTTTCTACACACCATGGCTGTGATCACACTGGGCTGTCAACTTCTGCAGTATGAATTATGACAATAAAAATAGCCTGGATTTCTTCTTCCTTCTCCACAACTTCAGGGACACAGTGTTCCTTCCTGCCATACAGTGTTTTTTTCTTTTCTTCTTAAGTCAAGATCTTGTACCTTCCCCCCCCCCCCCCCCCCCGCCCTGCCCCCAAGCCCTGGGCAGCTTCTCTTTGGCACATCCCACTGTCAGCACCTTGTGCTCCTGAGGACATCAGTAAGAACACCGGGTGCCAGGACACACGCCTCAGAATTGCCCAGCAGTTATCTGATAGCTAAGACAGCTACTGAGTGATTGATGGGCGGGTGGTGAGCACAGCTCCTGTGTGAGTAATGCCTCACACTCAGAACAATGAACGACCAAAAGCCTGTGGATTGCTCATCTACAGAATTTTCTAGTTAATGTTTTTGGAGCAGGGCTGACTGTAGGAAACTAAACCAAAGACTATGGTTGGAAAGGGAAATGTCCCAGACAAACCATGTGCTTAAACACCTTGTCACCAGTTGGTGGTGATGTTTTGAGAGACTCTGAAAGGTCAGGTAGGAGGTGGGTCACTGGAGCTGGCTTCTCAGGTATGTCATAGCCCTGCCTACTCCTAGCCAAGGCTCTCTGCTTCCTGATTTGCTGAGATGTGACCAGTTATCTCATGCCCCTCCCACAAGGCTAAGGAGAGCTATTCCAGCTGCCTCGCCTTTCCCACCAAGATGGACTCTGTCCCCACACAAGCGTCTCCTCTCTTGAGCTATTCCTGTCAGGGATTTTGTCACAGCCATGAAAAGTGACTGATGCACACAGATGGGGAGGAGCAACACCTGGTGGGGTGGAGGAGGGTGATCACTAGGGGGGTATGCACAGAACCGGATCAAAAGGCAGCTTACAGGAGACATCCCTCTCCAGAGGCCCAGAAGACTTTCTGTGCGGACCACCTTCAAGAACACAGCCAGCATCCCGACACGCCTGGACCTGATGGGGAAAACATGGACGCGAAAAGAAAACAAATGTTACAACAGACCCTCACGGCCGAGCTCCCACTCAGACTGTATAAAACAAGCAGGGATCTCGACAATGCATCTTAGAATTTCTCTTTTAAAAAGTCATTATGTAGTGTGAGTGTGTGTGTGTGTGTGTGTGTGTGTGTGTGTGTGTGTGTGCGCGCGCGCGCGCGCGCGTGTGTGCGCATGCATACATACATACACACACGTGGAACTCTGAGAATAACTTGCAGGAGTCAGTTCTCTCCTCTCAAGCATGTCCTAGAGATCAAGCTCAGCTTGGCAGCAGGCACCTTCACTGCTAACCCATCTCACCAGCCCTAGAATTGCTCTTGATTTCCATGTGTTCATGGTTTGGCACATACATATCTAACTGTCTATTCACACCACAGCAATGGGAAAAATTCCACTTTACATACACTTTTTGTAGTTCCCATAGCACTGAGAAACATAAATACATTCAAAATGGATGTTATTTCCAAAACACCAAGTGCCAGCAGCATAGTTACAATGTCACAAGCTAGCACAAGAAAAGTGCAAATGTCTCCAAAGAAGGTCCTCTGGAGCCGCTCAAAAAGACCCCAGTTAATCAAGAAAAATCAATTATAATGTGTATGAATATAAAACTATATTAGGATCCACAAGCACATCGCCCAGTACCCAGTACTCAGGAAGCTGAGGCAGCAGGATTGCCAGTTCAAGGTCAGCATGGGATACACACCAATACTCTTTTTCTTTTTTTGAGACAGGGTTTCTCTGTGTAGCTTTGGAGCCTGTCCTGGCACTCGCTGCTGGAGACCAGGCTGGCCTCGAACTCACAGAGATCAGCCTGCCTCTGCCTCCTGAGTGCTGTGATTAAAGGTGTGTGCCACCAACACCCGGCCACAGCAATACTCTTGTCTGAAGCAAATACAACAACAAAAAGGAATTCCAGCCTGGCTGTGTTTCTCTAACATAATGAAGTTTGAGTTAATATGTAGCCTAGTCCTGTGGCTGAGAAGCTGCTAAACCCAGCTCCTCTATGAAGCAGGCAGCAGCCTACCGTAGGTCTGAGGGCTGCAGGGTCTGCAGGCGGGTCTTGAGGAGATCCAGAGGCTGGAAGAGGAGGGTGGAGCAGGTCCCACTGATGGAGCCGCAGAGGAAAGCCTTGATCACCGGATGTAACTGCAAGACAAGAGCCCATGGCGTCAGCAGGCCCACTCACTGTGGCATCAGCAGGCCTACCCCACCCACCAAGCCCAGCTCCTTTCCCCACACCTGTGCCTGCCACTCTTTTCCTGAAGACCTTCAGGCACTACCTGTCACAACTCCGTTCTAGCCTACTACTTCTAGCCAAGGCTCTCTGCTTCCTGATTTGCTGGGCTGTGACCACTTGCCTCATGCCCCTCTCACAAGGCTGTTGGAGGCTACTTCAATTGCCATACCCTTCCCACCAGGATAGGAATGTAAAATCTGCAGCCAATACTGAAATGTGCACAGCAAAAGGGCCTCTTTGGTCTCACTATTTACTGCTATAATGTTGGTTCCACAAGGCAACAAGTCCATTTTCATGGCACATTTCCCTATCTGTCCTGACTGAAGAATTACTGATCACGTTCTTATCCTGAGTGTAGTTTTAGCTGTTGGCTCCCCCAAGCTACCTGGTTGTAGGATCTTTAGATATTTATAAGAACAAGTCAAAACCTATGATAGCATAAGCTTGGCCAGTATGTATAGAAAGCTTCCAGTACTCCATTAATTTCTGTGCTTAAAGCTCTGCTTTTCAAGCCAAGTGGTGGTGGCACACACCTTTGATCCCAGCACCTGGGAGGAGGGGCAGATGGGTCTGAGTTTGAGGCCAGCCTGGCCTACACAGTGAGTTCCCTGTCAACTACACAGAGAAACCCTGGGGAAAAAAAATCAGCAAAAATAAAAACGAATGAAAAACCCCTCTGCCTTTTTTTTTGGTTTTTCAAGACAGAGTTTCTCTGTGTAGCTTTGGAGCCTATCCTGACACTTGCTCTGGAGACCAGGCTGGCCTTGAACTCACAGAGATCCCCCTGCCTCCCGAGTGCTGGGATTAAAGGTGCGCACCACCAACGCCCAGCCCCCTCTGCCTTTCTTGTACCCATCACAGTGAGACCCAAGCCGACCACACACTGGGCAGTGCAGTCACTTCTGGGATGTGGCCCCTCCCTCAGCCCTGCACGGTCACACGCTGGCTTATCTTCTGGCTCCATACAGAAGGGCAGCTGTCTTTCAGATACTGAAGTATCTCCCCCATGCATACTCCAGGAGCGCCAGCTCAGGGGACTGGACTTACACGAGTCCCCTTCCTGGAATGCAGCAGGATCACCAATGACAATGGACAGACACTTCAAAACTCCCTCCCCTCCAAACAAGACACTTGGCAGAGCCCATCTGGGGACCTTCTCTTCCCCCGTTCTCTGCACCCCACCCCACCCCTGAGGTCACACAAGATTAAGCTCATTCTAGGTGGTTTTAATGAATCATAAATAATTTATCATTACAGGTATGGCCATAGACTACTCTTAAAATAACTGACACATTGTAGCCCTAATGGCTTACTAGGACGGCTGAGGTCTCTGTTACAGCAAATATCCAGGAACCCCAATGCCAGTTATCTGAAGTACCCACTTCAGAGAGAAGAGAGCCCACCCTAACTTCCACGAAATACACCTGGTGTTGGTTTCAAGACCAGGGGGACCAGGTAAGTTCTGAGAGTTGAATCCTGGATGGGACAACAGCCCCAGTGCCAGCAGGGCTCTCAGAAGACAGCAGGTGAAACCAGGCAGTGTGTGTACCTGAGCACATCTGAACTGGCAGCCAGTGCCCTCTCCCCAGAGATGCCAACACTCCCCAAACCTGCTCCTCAGCCTCACCTGAGCCTCTGCAGTGTCGGGGGGTTCAACCTCCTCACAGGCCAGGTCCCTCTCTTCCTTGGCCATCTCTTCTCTGCCTGGAAACCTGCTCCAGAGCCTCTGTTTCCAGTGCCACCCTGTGGCATCTCCATTCCCTCTGTGCCAGTCACTCCTCATGCCTCAGGCTCGACATCTAGTCAGAACTCCCCCAGTAAGGCTCCTGCACATCCCAGGCCCCCTCTTGCGCCCGTCTATAACTTACTTAATTCTATCAGTGACCAACTCTCTCTCGGTATTGTTTCTTCGGCTACCACCCCACCTCACCCCTCCGGGGTTACAGGTCTCTCTTCCCTCTGCCGGCTCCCTCTGCCGGCACCTCAGCGCTACTGCACCTCCTCGCTCTTCAGTCTGCAGTCCTTTCTCAGCGGTCTCACCCACAACCGGCCTTCCACCCCTCCCTCCCTCTGCCATCCCAGTACCCCCTTCTGCCCACAGGGGCCTCAAAGTCAGCAGTTCAAACTGGAAACTTGGGCAGCACTCCCGCACACCTCCTCCTCCCCAGTCCCAGGAGACTTGCTCTGCCTGCTGCTTCCTGACCAGGCCGATGGCTGACCCAGCAGTCTGCCCTATCCGTCCCTTCAACCTCAACAACAGAGAGGTTCTCTGCAGAATGAGTTCACTGGGGAAGGAGCAGGGGGCTGCAAATGCGGTTCGTGTGCCAGGAGAAATCACATTCTTGAGCCCTCTCCTTCCAGCCCCAGCAATGAACTCCACGCTCTCATTTCTGTTGTCCTCTCCTTGCTCTGGCCCTGCTCACCGCTCTCTTCCACTGAGCCAGGCTCTCACACCCCTCAGACAGCTTCAGTGTCTTTAGTTTCTATCCTTCCATCCACACACAACCGCTCTGTGGAGCTCCAGACAAACTCACACTGCCACTGCTCAGATGACATTTCCTAAACCTGAGCTAGCTCTCTCCTTTACTCCAACCTGCTGCTGCTGGGTATGGGCATCCAAGCAAACACCCTTTGTTTATCCACGCTGGTCTGGGCCTCTCCACACTCACTCATTCTTGTCTTCATAGCAGTGACTGAACACATCACTGGCCCAATAAATATTGAGCCAACAAAAAGAGCCAACAACTTTTTTTTATGTTTTGTTTTTCAAGACGGGGCTTCTCTGTGTAGCCCTGGCTGGCCTTGAACTCAGAGATCTGTCTGCCTCTGCCTCCTAGGATTAAAGGCCTGTGCCACCACCACCTGGCCACAATGTCAATTCCAATAGATAAATCCAAAAATAAATAAATAAATAAATAAATAAATAAATAAAAGAGGGCTGGTAACTTAAACAGCACTGTGACTTTTGTAGGTGTACGGCATATCCTTTGAGTGGATTAGTTTTTGTGGACCTATGGCTGTGCTTGTTTTGAGACAGGGTCTCACTATCACACAGATCTGCTTGCCTCTGCAGGAGCCACCGTGCCAGGCCCTGGATTTAGTTTTATGTGTTATAGAGGTGGAGACTAAGATGTCTTGCCACAGGGCTACACCACCAATTTTAAGACATCTAATTATTAAATTATTAATATTTAATAATCATTCATTATTAAATTATTAATTTAATTAAATCTAATTATTAAAGAAAGGTGAACATTCCAATTTTCTAAGTGTGAGAACAGACAGAAACATTGGGAAGGGGCTGGCCAACAGTCAAAAGTGAGTAGTGCTCTTCCAGAGGACCAGGGGTTCCCAGCCGGGGTGCTCACAACCACCTGTAACTCCAGCTCCAGGGGATCCCAACACCCCCTGGGTCTCCAAGTGCACCTGCTCTCTTGTGCACATACACCCACCACACGCGCGCGCAGGCACGCAGGCGCGCATACACAGGCACACGTGCACGCGCACACACACGGGCACACACAGGCGCGCGCGCACACACGCACACAAAAACTAAAAGCATAACCAGCAAATGGACCGCACACAAACACAGGCCTCACTTCAACAGCCGATTAGTTCCACAATTTCCACGTCCCACACAAGCAAAGCCAACAACTCCCTAGGGCAGCACAGCAGAGGGAGGACGGCAGTTCTGAAAGACGTGATCCCGGGGCAGACATTCTATCTTTAAAGATTCCCAGAAAGCCACACACCCGGGAGCGCACGCCCTTCGGATCCGCACTCTGCAGGCAGAGGCAGGCGGGTCTCTGCGAGTTCGAGGCCGGCCTGGTCTCCACCGCGAGTTCCAGCCGGGGCTGCACAGCCAGACTCAAAACCCGGCAACAACTCTAGAAGAGATTCCAGTCTGCGTCCTCCTCCCCCCTCCCTCCTCCCTCCTCCCCCAGGAGCCCCCCGGCCCGGCCTCCCGCCGCAGCCTCCCG